TACCTATGGGCTTTTCCACATTTAATTCTGAGTTACAAAAGCAATTCGTGTTTCTCGTACTTAAAGAAAAAACACTAAAAAAAACAAAAAACCCAAAAAACAAACAAGCAAACAAAAAAAAAAAACTAAGCAAAAATGTCCAGAAAACCTTTTGCTTTGGCAGAGAAGGGCAGATTCCACCAAGAGTCACAGGGTGGGCCCTGACATGAGGCTGATCCACGGGTGGGGGCAGCTGGCCCACGTGGAGGCTCCCACTGCCCACTCCAGAATGTCCTGCCCCACGGTGCTGAATTTATTTATTTTTATTAGTTGATTTTAGTTATACATAACATTGGGGTTCATTACGGCATAATTATACAAACACAGGAAAAAAAATTTGCTTTAACTCATTCCCTATTTTTACATATCACTTAATTTGTTCACTAATGAGTGACCCTAGGAAGGGGAGCTCTTGTACCGGAAGGTACAAGATGGGATTAGGAAGGTGCCAGAAATACATTTCACCTATGTGTCTTCTACTGAGTCAATCGTGTAATTAAGGCAAGAGAGAAAGAGGGACCTGCCTTAGAAAACAGACTGACTTCAGTACTTTTAGAAACCGACTTTTCCTGGTGTTGGAAAACCAGCCTTCTGATAACAGAACTCATTGTTTTCCTAGGGGAAACCACCCTTCCGCTCGGGTCTAGATGGTTCAGGGCGTCTGACTCCAGCCAGATCTAGCCCATCCCCTCACTGTGTCCCCCACCACAGGGATTAGACATGTGGGCCAAGTTCAACCTGAGGTGGTTCCATTGGGGACTTATAAAGAAACTGCTGGAAGCAGAAAACCTCTTACTTATGGAGACCTGGAAGCTGCTGGGCATCATGAGTGAACCTCACCAGGACAGAGCCGGAACAAAGGGAAGCAATGGAGAGAAGGGGACTGAGTTCTAATGACCTGGCTGAAGACTACGGCCTTGCCGAAGCCAAGCCTGCACTAGGCCTTTCCAGTACCTGAGCCAACAAATTTCCACTGGCACTTAAGCCCGTTTATGTTGAATTTGTTGCCACCTGTAACCAAGAGCCCATATCTGGGAAAGAATGACTAGAGTCGTAACTACAAATTCAGTGCTGTGTATCAGGGCTATCAAATAATCAGTAGTGTAAACAATGAAAAAAAAGTAATATCAATTGAATAATGGAAAATCAATCCCAAGAAGAAACAAAGAATTACTTGGTTGGCTTTTGTATCCCAGAATCAAGGACAATACCTTGTGGTCTCTGGAAAAAACAAAGGTAAAACACTCAGGTTGCTTTTGATCGAGTCTTGAAAACTTTATTTTTCAGAAAAATTCCTTGAGAAATAAACCTTATGGGGTCTTCAGGTAGAGCTCTTAAGTGAACTTAAGTATCAATGACACAGTAATATTTCCACTGCTACATATTCATAGCTTTCGACATCAATAAAGCCTGGTAGCCTAAGTGATATTAATTAATTACTCCTAAGTGAGGGTAGGGGAAGGGAAAAACATCTACCCCTACTTAAGAAGTACAATTATTTGGAATAGAAGCAAAGGCCAGCCTGAATATACTGGGTAAACCTCAACTCAACTTTTTCACTTAATCTACTCGTTTGGAAATCTTCAGTGGGAATAATGGTAGGGCTGGGACAGGGGCCGGGAGTCTGAATAGTTGGTCTGTAAAAATCACAAACTGGATCCCAATATTGAACGTTTTCAATGGCCAGAAACACACATATTTATAAGGAAAACTTGGAAAAGGCAGAGATGCTGTATTCTATGTGTGTCTAGTAAAAATGCTATTCTGGATCATGCAAATTAAGTTTACAGTAACACAGAATTATTTTTCTAAGTCTCACTGAAAAACAAACTCTGACAAACAACAAAAACAACACAGCCTTTTTGTCTGGTAAATCTCTGCTTGCAATTTTGAATCGAGCCCATTAAATATTGCTCAGTGGAAAATCTCCAGGTAGTTTTTAGATAAGACATTATTACTATTCATTATGGGTTAGATTACATCAAAAATATTTTTTGAAGAATTTCCCAAGAACACTGTAATATTAACTGTGCGGGTCAACAACACACGAGAAAGAATGCGAAAAAGGAACACCCACATGAACATTTACCTTCCACTGCTCTTTTGAAGAAGACTTTGCAGCTGCCACAGGTCACTACCCCATAGTGACATCCCGAAGCCTCATCCCCACACACCAAACATATTTTGGAAGGTCTTGAGGATCCAGTAGAAACACTTCGTAAAGTAGAGCTGGGGAAAGAAATCAAGATTTAATAACTAAACTATAATGGCACATTTCATATGCTGCTCAGCTTAGCTCCACATGTGTCAATAATTCTAGCTCCAACCATGGATTCAGGATGCTGGGGCCACATGCTATGTGACTCAGCAGAATGAAGGCAAAGTCCATCGGGGGAGACATCCAAAATGGCACCTGGAAAAGCCTTATCCCAGCACTGAGAGAGGAGCAATACTCAGATGTGAACACTTTCCTGCCCTCTCCTATTATTGGCAATATATACAATCTCCACCCATCTCACTCATACACAAAGAAACCATGCTTCCTGGCACTCCAAGGCCAGTGAGAAGACTCCTGCGCCAAATCATCATGACAGTATTTGCCATCCTTCTGTTTGGACACCAAAGAGTTATTACAATACTTTTCAACACTATTCACTGAAGATTCTCATTATTGATCTTTATTATACCTGATTTTTAAAAACCCACCCCCTTCCAAAACAATCCATTAATTGTTTTCCTTTGCCACAACTGCCAGCAATCTCACCCTCCAAGCTCCTGGGTATGTTCCATTTACCTCATTTTGTTTACTAATTTGAAGGGACACAATCATTACAAAACTAAAAACCCATGCATCCCCAGTATCTTTCAATGGAAGAAAGTAGAGGGCGCCGGGGAACAGCTTTTTAGGGACAAAAGTAACCCTATAAGCAGCCATCTGCTTGAATCCTCTTTAAGGGGGTCTTCTCAAAATATTTTACACATTACTATGTTCGTTAATGGCACACTCCAAACGAAACGTTTTGTATTGTAATAAGAAATCAAAGTTCGGTGACACTTTGGATGTGCACTGAGCTGGCAGAGTTCGTATTTATGGTTCACATGCATTTATTAAATAGTTCGCATGCATTTATTGAATATTTACCGATAGGACCAGTGCAACATACAGAGAAAATAAATACTTAAAAAAATCCAGTTCCTGCCACCAAGGTGGTGGGGGCACAAATTCCCATGGTAAGTGCTGGGCTGCAGGGTCATTTGGTGGCACGGTGTCAGTTCACCTCTCCATATTGGGAAGGGTGGGAATATAGAAGTCAGAAAATACTTGCCCAAATGCGACAGCTGAGCTGAGCCTTCAAGCCTGCCTAGGTGGTCGCCAGACAGAGAAAGAAGGCAGAGGAAGCAAGGGGGCAGGCAATGGATCGGCAAAAAATACGAGCTGAACACGTTCAGAAAACTTTGGTCACCTGGCTGTCAGTGCTTCTGCCTCTGTGGATGACAGCAGGCACATGGATAAAAGATAACCACCAAGGGGCCTAACTGGCTATGTAATGGCACCGACTTCTGCTCCCCAAATTAGCTAAAACAGTAAAATCATGTTAATGTCAACATTTAAAAACAATTTTAATGTTCAAACTACCCTCTCCCCAGAAATAGCTCAAGGAACAAACCACGCAGCCGCTCAGAGCACTGTACCGTGACGGCCTTTCTAGCAAATGACTTCTTAAATCAAGGACCAAAACAATGTTCTCCAAAGTTGTTTCTCCTTCTGAGAAAAGTGCACTTTATTATTTTTATTAGTGTCCTTTGACTTTTTTATGGCATTCAAAGCATTCCATTTCAGCACCAGTAACTTCTTCAACGTATTAGCCGGTAAAATTCAATCCACGCTCCGGCTGTCATAGCGCACTTCACAGAGCAGCGCCGAGACTTCGTAAATGTTTAGAATGTAATGTAAAATCATCATTAAAATGTAATTGCTTTCTCACAATGGCAAGCGTATGTGGGATTTTTATTTAACATTTTTGTGGGCTTTGGTCTTGGTCCCAATACTTATTCGCCTTTTAGTGTCAATCTCTGGAACGCTTCTCTTCTGCTATCCAAACTTAACTTTCTTGGTGAGTTCATCTAGTCTCTTGGTTTTAATATGTTGGGGACTTCCAAATGTTTATCTCCAGCTCAGAATCCTGCCCAGAACTTCAGACCTGTTCATCCAATAGCCCACTTGGCCTCTGCCCTTGGGGGTCTGATATATACCCCGAACTCAACATGTCCAAAACTTTGCTGATCTTCTCCCTGCATCCAAACCTGTCCCTCTAACAGACCTCATCATCTCTGTTAGTGGCAACAACTGTGGGTGGAATTGTGTCCCCTCCAAATTTATAGGTCAAAGTCAGCCCCTAATACATCAGAATGTGACCTTATTGCATCAGAATGTGACCTTATTGCATCAGAATGTGACCTAGTTACTTGCAAATAGGGTTGTTGAAGGTGTCATTAGTTGAGATGAGGTCATGTTGGAGTAAGATGAACCCTACTAAAGGAAGCAATTGGGACACAGATCCCAGCACAGTGCCAAGTTTAGATGAAGGCAGAGATCTGGAGAAGCATCCAGAAGCCAAGTAAGGCCAAAAGTTGCTGGCAAACCAGCAGAAGGGAGGAGAGAGGTACGGAACAGATTCTCTGTCACAGCCCTCAGAAGCAACCAATGCTGCCAACACCTTCCTCTTGGACTTAGCACTTCCCAAACTACAAGACAATAAATCCACTATAGTTTGAACCATCCAGCGTGTAACCCTTTGTTACAGCAGCCCCAGCAAGCTAATACCACCCTTCTTTCTTTCTAGATAATCAGAGTAAAAATATCTAGACTCCTCCCTGAATCCTCCCCTCCTCTCACACAACACACCCGTCTGCTAAATTCTGTCCACCTCACTGCAGAGTGAGTGCACTCAGCTCTGCTCACTTCTACAACCTCCTCTGGTACCACGCTAGTCCCAGCTGCCCACGCCTCTGGCCTGGGACTCTGCCAAGGCTGCCTAGCTGGTCTTCCTGTTTCTCTTTGCTCCCTCACCCGCCACTGCAGACAGAAGGATCCCTTTATTCCTTTGCTCACATCCGTTCAAGAGTTTTCCTCATACTTGCAGACCACAGGGGCACAGTCAGGCCTTTGCACCTTCCCTCGCCTCTCTCTGGCCTTCTCCACTTGAGTGACACCGAGCTCCTTGTGGGTCCCTGAACACACCAGGTAGGATCCCGTGTCAGGGTCCTTGCACATCTGACCCTCTCCATCAGACATCCACAGGCCCCCACCCCTTCATCTCCTTCAGACCTTTATTCACATGGTTCTCAGGCCTTTGCTGACTACCTGTTCAGAAACGCCTCTTCTCTATTGCACATGATATCTATTTGCTGAAGTTTATTACTTGTCTTATCTACACAAGAAAGCAAATTCAGCATGGGCTAGAATCTCCATGCATTATGCACTTATCTGTTCCCCATGCATGAAACAGTACTGGGTACTCGGTAGGTGTCCGCTATGGTTTGGATCTTAAGTCCCCCAAAGCACAGGTGTTAAAGGCTTGGTCCTCAGCATTTTGGGAGCTGGTGGGACCTTTAAGAAGTGGGGTCTCACATGAAGAAGTTAAGTTACTGCAGGTGTGTCCATTAAGGGAATATTGGGGCCCTGGCTCTTCTTCACTTTGCTCACTTTGTTTGCCAACTTCCATGAGGAAAACAGGCTTTCTCCACCATGCAGCCTGCCTTGATGTCCTGCTCTACCATTTGACCCTGCTGGTCACTTGGATAGAGAATTCTGAAACTGTGAGCCAAAACTAAGCGTTTCTTCCTTTTATGTTGATTACCTCAGGTATTTTGCCATAGTAACACTGACTAACAGTACACTCAATCAATATTGAGTTAGTGATCAGATAACTGGCATCCTCACCACAGTCTCTGCAAGACCCACCATGCCATGAATTCCAATGTCTACTGCAGTCCTGCAGTCCTCATGCAAAGAAATGCAATTTGTTTGTAACCAGTTGGAGAGTTACAAATACGTAGCTGAACTAAATTGAAGGAAGTTTATAAAAAAAACAGATGAATTATGAAATACAAAGGAAAACTACATTTACAAAACCAAATCAAATATTAATTCTGTTTCCCTTATATTCACTAATAGCTTTCAATGACAAGATGGCAACTTCACCTATATGTGCATTTTTTAAAATTGTCGATGCATCTTTTTATTTTATTTATTTATTTTTATGCAGTGCTGAGGATTCAAACCCAGTGCTTCACACATGCCAGGCAAGTGCTCTAGCACTGAGCCACACAACCTCAGCCCTGGATGTGCCTTTTGGTTTGTCTCTCCAATGATATTATGAGATCCTTTCTTATCCCATCTCCAACATCTCTATTTTTCAGGCTCTTCCTCATCTTGTCCATCACTAAATTCACAGTTCTACTTTGGCCATCATTTTTCCCATTTTGACACTATCCCCTAATGAGCTCACGCACTATCTCAGATTCAAATGGCTCTCTTGGTGAAAGATGTTCCAAATCACCATAAACATTCCACTCTGTCCCTCTCCTTACTATCTCATGTTTTCTCCTCTATGTTCTATAATCTTCTTAAACATACTGTATTCAAAACCATATTTATCTTCTTTTTTTCCCGGATCTTGATATTCTGAAAGGTACTGCCACCTATTAATTACCCAGTCTCAAACCCTATATAATTGCCCCCTCCTTATCCATGAAGGATATGTTCCAGGATGCCCAATGGATGTCTGAAACCATGTATCATGTACTGAACCCTCACATTCTCTATGTACAATGTTCTCTCCCATATACCCTACAATAATGCCACACAACTGTCCTTTCAAATATTTTTCCCTGGTGTCTCCTTTGCATCACTACTTTAGAACTTTAGGTTTGTTATTAAGTAAAATAGGGGGGGTTGAACATAAGTACAGTGATTCTGTGATAACCAGTCTGGTAAGTGAGTTGACTAAGTGATTAACAGATGGGTATCATATACCTTGTGGACACACTGTACTAAGGAATGACTCAATTCCTGGGCATGGTGGAACAAGACTGCCTGAGAGGCCATTATACTACATTTCAGATTTCCTAAGAAGCCATCATACTGCATTTTAAAACTTATAAACTGTTTATTTTGAGGAAGTTTTTCATTCCATATTTTCACACCAAAAGTAACTGAAACTATG